TTGGCGACACTTTGGGCCGACAGTCTAATCCAGTCGTGGGAAAACTACAGCCCGCGGGCCGAATCCGGCCCATTTGAAATGAATAAAACTAAAAAAAAAAAAAAAGACCGTACCCTTTTATGTAATGATGTTTACTTTGAATTTATATTAGTTCACACAAACACTCCATCCATGCTTTTGTTCCGGCCCTCCGGTCCAGTTTAAGAACCCATTGTGGCCCTCGAGTCAAAAAGTTTGCCCACCCCTGGTCTAATCACTAAGCCACACCAACCAGGGCTTTAGTGATTTTTTTTTGAGTTGTATAAAAACTGGATTTATTTTATACTGTAGGTTTGTGGAAGGCAAAAGCAATGACCATTTGGGGTCACATTTCTATATATCTTAACATGTGAAACATTCACCTACACAACAACAGTTTGATAAGTAAAACATATATATAGAGAGATAACTGAACATAAATATTCCCAGTAGATTTACTTATAATACCCCAAACCTGGAAATAACCAACATCATAGATCAATAGGCAAAGTCATTATCCATAGAACACAATACTACTCACCAATCAAAAATTAACTAAGTGTTGAATCTCAAAATAACTGTATTGCATGAAGAAAACCTCTATTTGTTACATAACACACCTGATAGTGCCTATAAAATTATGAAAAATACGAACTAATCTATTGTATAGGAATCTAAAACCCTAAAGGCTCCATCAAAAAACTATTAGACTTAATAAATGAATTCGGCAATGTAGCAGGATACAAAATTAACGCCAAGAAATCTATGGGCCCTGGCCAGTGTGGCTCAGTGGATAGAGTGTCGGCCTGCAGACTGAAGGGTCCCAGGTTCGATTCCGGTCAAGGACATGTACCTTGGTTGCGGGCACATCCCCAGTAGGAGGTGAGCAGGAGGCAGCTGATCGATGTTTCTCTCTCATCGATGTTTCTAACTCTCTATTCCTCTCCCTTCCTCTCTGCAAAATCAATAAAATAGATTTATATAAAAAAAAGAAATCTATGGCATTTTTATACACCAATAATAAACTTACAGAGAGACTAAAAAAGCAATCCCATTTACCATCGCACCAAAAAAATTAAGATACCTAGGAATAAACTTAACTAAAGAGGTAAAAGACCTCTACTTAGAAAACTACAGGACGTTGAAAAAAGAGATAGAGGAAGACATAAACAAATGGAAGAACATACCATGTTCATGGATTGGTAGAATCAACATCATTAAAATGTCCATACTACCCAAAGCAATCTATAAATTCAACACACTTCCCATTAAAATACCAACAGCATATTTCACAGACCTAGAATGAACTCTCCAAAAATTCATCTGAAATAAAAAAAAGACCTCAAATAGTTGCAGCGATCCTGAGAAAGAAGAACAAAATAGGTGGGATCTCAAT